TATTATTATTATTATTATTATTATTATTATTATTATTATTATTATAACATTTCTATGCCGCCCCTTGCCGAAACCTCGGGGCGGCTTACAACATGATAAAATACATTGAAATACAATAGTACATAAATGAATATGAAACCCTTGACTGGAGGTTGTCAAGGATTCTTGTGTCAAGCAAACCCGACCAGCAGGAGTTAGTTCAGAGTTAGACAACCCTCACATAAGCTATGGTCTGTTGTAGGGTTACATGAAGGTTGTTTTAAGACTCAAATAACTCTCACCATTGGGTTCACAAGGCACAGCAACCCCAATTGTGGGCTGCAAATTCATATTGATGGCTGGCATGTGACACAGCTCCTCAAAATTGTTTTGTGAACTACCCCAAAACTGGGTTGGATAGACTGATAGTCTGACTCAATAAAAGGCAACTTCGCATGTATTGTGTAATTCAAAGCAATTCCACTTGGATTTGGATTCATAACATATAACTAACTGCAAAAAAATGCTGCAGTAAACATCCTGATTCTTTGTGTAGTTAAATAAGAATATAAACATAAACAATTATTATTACTATTACATTAAATTTCTATACTGTTTGTAGCTGAAGCTCTCTGGGAGATTAACAACATCTAAAGTCACCCATCCAGATTTCAACCAGGTCCAGCCCTGCTTGGCTTCCAAAACTAGGCAGGCTCAGACACTCCATGCTATATAGAAGCTATACCTTTACATCTGATAGTTAAACAATGAAGAATTAATTTTTTACATCAAGATACAAGCTCTCCACCTTTGTAAAAGTTCCTATTAAAAGCATTTTGCTTGCACCTGTGACTTGCCTCCTGTTGGGGAAGTATTCCACTGCCCTGTGCTTCTTTTGTTTTCAACCTGCATTAGCACTGCTAAATGCAGTTTCCTTTTGTTAGCAAAAAAAAAAAAAAAGAACTCATACTATAATTACCTTTCCCCCTGAATGTTTATTCAATAGAGGAAGTAAATACTAATATTACTTTGTCCTGATGAGGGTAGGTTACTGGTTGGCCTAAAATATCAATCATTAAAAATACCTTTAAAGTGATTTTAATTGACAATTAATTAATTGAGCAATTATTGCTTTTATACCAATTCTTATAAAGAGCATCATTTGAAAAGAAGCATTCCCCATTCTCATACACAGGAGAAATGCCTCTTCTATAATAATACCCAATATGACATATGCAGGTGTCATCGAAACACAAAGACTGGCTGGATCTAGAACAGTCCTTCTGTTCATGGAGTGAATACCTCTGTTCATGGAAGGTACCTTTGCCCTTCATGGGTGGGGTTGCAATCCAGGGAAAGTGTCTGCTCATTCAAGGAAGTTGAATCAAGATGCTCCCACTCACAGAAAGGAAGGCCATTTTTGCTGATTCTCCTTCTTCCCTGCAGTCCCTTTCATGTGTGTGCCCACACAGACAGGTAGGTGGATGTGCAGACACACACTGCTCAGGAGTGTTGGAGGATGCTTCAGAATAGCATGGGGGTAGGTGCAGGAGGCAGCAGACTTGTGAAGGGGCAGTTATTAAAATTGAAAAACATCAAAATGGCACTCCAGAATCTGCACTGCCTTCCTATTGGTAATTTTAAAGTTGAGGTCTACAATATGCTCTTAGATAATCTAGAAGAGTATAACAGAAATAATGATAGAAGGAAATGATGACAGGCTGTTTCATGGCAAAAACTTTTGAGTTTTGCAGGTGAACAGAATTTATGGGATGAAAAGAATAGCAGTGTCTTATTTTCAAAATTTATACATGCTGTTCATTCACAGGAGTCCAAGGCAGTGAACACAACCACAAAAACCAGGAGCCGTGCAGCTAATGGGGTGGGTTAGAAATCAATCAATCAATCAATCAATCAATCAAATAAATAAATACCAAACAATTCCAATGCAAACATCATATAATTGAACATTAAAACAAGTTAACGAACAATAACTCTTTAACCAGCAAACAAAACTGAACAATCAATTCAGTTTTAAAGCATTAAATGTTAAGTTTCTAAAATATTAAACAGTTAAAAACCCTGAGCAACAGGAAACATTTTAAATTGGCACTGATAACAAAACAAAGTCTGACCCATCTCCTTTGAAAGTGCATTCCAGAGTTGGGGCATCACCACAGAAAAAAACATTTTGTAGATACATAATTTAAGTTTTCCATTTATGGTACGTGGAGAAGGACCGTCCGCCTCAAAATCTTAGTGTTAACTGATGAATGATTTAACTATGCTTGCTATTACTTTCCCCTACGTAGTGCAGTAGAAGATGCTGATTTTCAGTCTGGAATACTGTCAAAAGGTAACACAAACAGACAAACGTGTTGCTCCTCACTCAAAGCTGAGGTGCACTAGAACAGTGGTGTATAGACCATGTTTAATGGATACCCTACAGCTTTAGAGATCTTCCCCAACCCTTACCTCCCCTCCCTGCCCCTCGCCTCCTGCACCTTTTCCATTATATGTTAGGAAGATATTCTCCCACAGAGAACATTGCCTTCCATTTACTATTCACATGTGGAGAGCAGAAAGTAAGGACACCAGAGCCAGAGACATGGGGAGTGTAATACAGTCTGCATTACATGCTTCGTAGCACAAGTCCATTTGCTATTTGGAACCTGCTTCCTTCCCTCCAGCCTGCACCTAAGAGTAGTCACTTTCTTTCTATCTCCTCTACAAAAAGTTTCTGAAGGTGGGAAATCAAAGAAGCTTATTTGGAATTCTTGTTGAAAAACATGGATCATTTACTTGGGACAGATGCTCCTCATATTCATAGAAGTGCTTCAAGATGTTCTTTATTAGTACAAGGCTTTTTGAGAATTATGATGTTTGTTGAAAGTTAGTGCTAAGAATTAAAAAGTTATTTATTGTAAGCTCGTGAACTTTGGCCTCCCCTTCCAACCCAATGTAACATTTCTTCCTATTGTCCATTTTGTAAGTGATTTCCTCTAATCTAAAAGTGCATTTAACACAGAGAGTCAGAGTCAGATTAACTGGGCTGAAGGAAGTACACTTCCCTAACTCCTTCCCAGGTGGCCTCTCCAGTCCAGAAGATCAGGAACCCCTGCTGAACGGGGTGTGCTGTGGAATGGGTGGGAGGAGGAATCTCCCAGATGGCTCTTATGAACGCCTCTTCCTCTTGAGGGAAGGAGATTCTGGATCCAGCCCACAATTTGTAAGCGAGACATGAAGTCTTGCCAAAGCACTTATACAAATTCATAAAGAAGACAGGCAGGGCTGTCTGTTTGGCTTCATTCTGAAAAGCTGCCAGGTACTCAATGTCCTCCTCGTACAGTGAGTGCATTTTATCTTACTTCTCAGCCAAAGGCACCTGCAGTGGCTGACAATGAATCAGTAAACAAGACAGTCCCTGTTCACAGCCTTTGAATCTAAAAAAAGATACAATGCACAAGGAAAAAGGATGGGAGGGAAGAGTGAGTGGAATCAAGAGCCAGTGTTGCATTGTGGTTTAAGTGTTGAACTGGCATACTGGAAAAGACCTGAGGACCATTATGATCCCCAGGAGATAGTGTCTATGACCATTCGGTCCTCATAATTAGACCTCCTATCTGGGCCTTCTGTCTATATTTTTGTTCTTCAGCCTTCTCCACTGGGGACTAATTTTTCTGTGTTACTTTCCACTGTTTGGTATCAAGTAGCAATGTGCTCAGAATGAATTTCCCATAATAAGCTTGGTTTTTTATCCCCCTTTTTATTTTCATATACAAAAAGAAACATATATACAAACATCACAATATCAATAATATAACACACAAAAGCCCAGCTAATGCATAAGTAGTAAATAATACTGTGCTTCCCACCACCCAGGTGAATAAGCTTGTTAACTGATTTTATTTTCAGATAGTCCTAGATGTAATCTAAATCTAAGTAAGACTCAAGGTTGTTTAGTTAAAAGTTGCCAATTGTTTGGGTAAACTAGATATAGTCAAGAAACCAAGAGGGTAGTCCCTCAGCCAAACTGAAAGTGCTGTTTACCATCAGATAGGCCTGGTCAAGGCCAACCTCTTGGTATTAGAATGTCTAAGATGTATATGCAGTTGTCTTTCATGCTTCTCCTCCAGTTGTTGTTGTTGTTAGTCACGAAGTCGTGTCCGACCCATCGCGACCCCATGGACAACATTCCTCCAGGCCCTCCTGCCCTCCACCATCTCCCGGAG